AAGCCTTCAAGCTTGTGGCACGGTATGTTTTCTATAATCCCATTTCCTTTTTAATCACATGCATCCCCTTTTTTGTATTCTATTGATGTTAAGAAGAATGAATGCAACCCTTGCACTAGTAAAAACAAAAAGCTTCTTACTTCCAGGAATGCATTGGCAAGTCTCCACAAGAACAAGATTTAACTTTTGAGCATGGCAGTGGGCATACAAGACTAATGGGTGGTCTTTCAAAAAGAAAGAAAGAAAAACAAAAATGGCCTTAAATTCATTCAAATGAAAATAATACATTAATTTTATTTTATAATTGACAAAACTCTTGCAAAACTCTCAATATATAAGTGACAAAATGCAAAAAAAAAAGAAAAAGAAAAAGAAAGCTTTGCTTGCGTGTGAGGGTATCTTATGATATGCAAGGCAAACCTGAAATTCATTTGCTTTGCATGTATGTGAGAAAGGATTCACAAATCACGCTATAGAATCATTTATCTGTTATCCAAATCAATCAGGATAGTTATGCCCTTAAATGAAAATCTATTTTTATGTCCTTAAATGAAAATTTATTTTTTATTGCAAATCTATTTTTTATTGCAAATACTTCACTCAAAGGAGATCTAAGTCCAGCTTTGTTGCACTCAAATTGCCTTTGATAAATTTCCTGACTAAACTGTAAAAAGTAAACCTTCTTAATACAGCTATTTGTATAGCCCCTTTTTTCTGTAATCTATGAACCTTGTTTTGTTCCACCTTGTGAATGATGTCACCCTTTTATTTAGATGACTTAATATGCTGCTTAACTTGCACTGTAGTCCAAGAGTAGCTATGGGAATAACATTGTTCTATAGCTACTTTCCCATTTGAAAAACCTCTTAAAGCTGTTATCCATCTGCATTTCACTCACCGTGTGTGAAACATCTATACAGAAAACAGTAAGCTCTCTGTTTCTTACAGCTATATTCCAGAAAACAACCTCTTTATGTTCCAGGAGAATTAATCACTCCTTTTATTTCTCTTTTCTGTCTCATTATTTTTTTTTAATCATAAGCTGTACAAAACAGCTTGGTGTGATAGCCTGAAAGAGTCCTACATCTTTATCTCCTAAATGTCTGGGTGCAGAACTTTACCTTTTATTAAAAATACTGGCCTGGGTCCTGATATTTCTATTCATTATTTGAAGAGGACTGGTGAAATTATCAACATTCAAAGCTAGACACCAGTTTCTAAAAAACTAAAATGTTTTTTTCATGCTAGTTTGAATTACATCCATTCTCAGTCTCATTTCTTACAATTCCTGCAAAAGCTGTTAGTTTTGTATGAGAGGTTTAGGGCAAGGGAGAATGTTCTGCCAAATCCAGTGCTGCAACATCATTGTAATTTTCCTGCACAATATAGGTGCCTTCATTTGAAATACAATAATATAGTAACAAAACAGATTTAAATCTCAAACTATCTTTACTTCTATTTTGCACCAGAAATAGCACAGGTGAATTCAAAGGGAGGATGTGTTACTGAGCAAAATAGCAGTTTAGTGAAAATCACAGGAAACCAACTACACAGAACATTAGGCAGCAGCTTAAACTAAACACCAGTTACTAAGAAAAGAATAAAGCTATACTGATAGAGAAAGAGGGATCTAGCAGCTGCTAACATTGTCCACTTATCATTAAATTCGGGGATTTGTGTCCTGATTTTCTCATGTATTTGAGCAGCATAAGGGAACCTAAAAAGTAGCTAAATAAAATCAGACGAATATAGCACGAGAGAAACAGTTCATCCAGACCACTATTCTCACAAATAGTGTATCCTCATATTTAGCTCATTGATAGGAGGCTATAGACGAGACAAGACGTTCTATCGCACCCAASTCTACTGCAGGTGCTCTCAGTGGACATACAGATTACTCTTCCTGTCTTAAGAAGTCTATATATAACCACAGACTAGTGCTCTCTATTTCACAGATAGTGTGGAAGTTACAGTGATCTTTGAAAAAAAAAAAAAGAAAAAAAATATACTCATGATAAAACTTACATAGGATTTTAATGAAGAATTTGGGTGTAACTTTCATAAGACCATTTATTCTTTCCAAGTGAGACTAAAGAAATTAATAATTGTATGAAAGACTAGTAAAAAACTACTCGTGGGGAATCCTTCAAATATTAAAGTGAAATCCTCTCAGAAGGGCCTCACATTGTCCAAAGATTTGACCCCTGGAAGAGGAATCACTGGTTAGAGCTAATTTTGCTGGAGAATAGAATCAGTGGAGCACTTAAAAAAATGTATATAGCAAGGTGAAAGAACTATATTGTGCGATTCCAAGAGTAAAATTACATCTTTGAGCCAAGAAACACATTTCCTAACATTTGAAACTTTGACAGTCAAATTTCAGGTAAAAAGCCATACTCCCCYTAGAGACAGACAAACACCTGTACTAAAAGTAATCTGATTTGACAAGCCATATTAGCTACAGAACATCCACTGCCATTAATAGGTCAACTCATTTGCTTTATACAACAACAACAACAAAAAATACTTGTCAAATGGTACCTAAAAGTATTAGCCCWCTATACTGACTTCTATTTCTTTTTAAATCATATTAATATGTGCCTAAAGTCAAATCCCATGGAAATTACATATAAACAGTACAGCAAGCAAGCAAATTGACAAATACTACTTAGAACTGAAAATACAAGAAAATAAAAATACCATTTCTAAACCTCAGCCAAAGTCCAATAATATAAACAAACCAATAAATAGACCAATRGATTCTTTGTTGCAATAATCATAGAGATAAATGCAACCACTGAGGAACCTTCATAAATATTGATGCAAATACTCAGACTGTAGTTTCAAAATACATAATTTCCATTGGTTATTACACTGAGTAACAGCATATTGAATTGCATTTGGAAGAAAAGAAGCCTATGCGTTCTTGGAGCCATTTGCTTCATATAACTCTCTCTAGCTACTACTTCAGCTGCTGCAGGTAGTAAACACTGGACAAAATGCCTRTTGACAGAAAAAGACATAGCTAAGTGCACTAAGAAACGTATCTGGAATTAAGACAGGAAAAGCCTCAAATAGAACATGAATGAATAAAAGCTCCAGAAGAATCAATAAACTTAAAGAATTAACATTTCTCATCTTTCAAATTAATAGTTTCCTCATCACTGTGTATAACAGCAATTCCCACTTCTCTCTGTAGGCTTCCCTTGTTAATGTTGAGATGGTACATTTTTGATTTCCTCAGAAGTTTAAAGAGTAACGTCATACAGGCAAGAAGAGGAGATCATCCAGTTCCTTATTAACTCCACTAAATAAAGTACAGAACAAATAAAGGTGTATAGGTGAAACAAAGTACCGCTTTGCCTTCTCTGACCTTTAYAGTGAAGTTAGAAAAGAGGATTTTTTGAAATCCTTCTCTCACAAYTCGTATTTTAAACTCCTGAGTCATGTAGAAGAGCCAGTTATAGAACAACAGTGTTAGCCAAGGCTGCTAGCTTTGGCTCAAGATCTGAGCCCTTTATTCCCTGGTGTGCCGGCCTGAATGCATATAGAGTATCTTGGTACCTGTTGTTAGTGGCTAYGTCAGGGAACTTAGAATTTAATTAACTTTCATAGTAACCCATGCAACATTTGAGACCTAGTCAAAAAAGAGCATGTAGAAAACTAAAACCTCCTTTTTCTCACCTAACTACGTGTTAATCCATGGGCAATGAATGCCAGTGGAAAACAACAACAACAAAAAAGGGTGCAAAATGCACCTTTCATGCACCTAGCTGTCTAGAAATGTTCTACAAGGTAAGCAATTTGCTTCTTGTCAATGAGGTAGGATCCCACAACTACTATGACTGCTCTTTCCTTAAAGATGAGGCCACACTGGTAGCAGCAAAAGTCCCTAGAATTACAAGGCAGTTTAGTCACTACTGCTCTTTCAGTACTGCAAACTCAAGTCTTCAGAGGCATCATAACCCAGCTAAGAGGCTGCTACTAGAGTAGCAAGGGATGGCTCTTCTGAGCCATCACAATATTAGTAAAGGGATGCAGCTAAAGTGATTCAGCAAGCCTCCTAGAGCATTAGAAACCATTTTCARGTCTCTGTTCCTACACAAGTGCCTTTAAAGAGCAGTCATTTTTAAGCCAAATGGGAAAAAAAATGCAGAGTGGCATATGGCCAAAATTTGACTTAATTTCACCACAGGTTGCTTTTTATTTACAAGCAGCTAATCCCCTCTCAAACTACACAATGGAGCAGCCATTGGCAAAGGCAGACAGATAAAATTGGCATGCCTCTTCATTGTTCTTTCTAATCTGTACTATTAAGGAAGGGTGAGAAGGCTAGTTTTGTCATTTAAACAGGCTTAAATCCTTCTTCCAAATGAGCTTTTGTCTACATAGAAGAATGCACCTAAGAAATTTAAGGGGTTTCTGTTAGTGTTGCATTCTCAAGTTGACTTGGCTACAGGAATACCACCCTGTTTATTTGGCCCTCCTACTGTAAATGCAAGAATTATTTCCAGCTGCCAAAACCTAAAGGGGTTCAGTCTCATTAAATTCTTTCTCAGAGGTGAAACAGGATGAGATTATGAAGTGCTAAGAAGCCACTATATGAAACCCTGAACTGCACCTGTGCAACTAAATCTCCATTTGTACAGGTGCTTTTTAAATTGGATTTGAACCTTTAAATTCCCTGATTCATCCCCTGAAATGTCACAGAAGTTCAAATAAGTAATGAATTTCAGAGACAGAAAGGCTTAAAATAGTTTCAAGCTGTGAAGTAAGGCCTCAGACTAGCTATATTCTTTGATTCATTGTTGATGCGACACATCAAGCATAAACATAAATTGCACAACCCAGTGGCCAAAGGTCAAAGGGTAGCCAGTAGCTAAGTAAGTTCCTTTCAGCACAGGAGAGGTCCTCATCCGGCCCATAACTARGCTGAATGCATATCTGGAAACCTGAGAAAAACAATGTGTTGGCCAGCATGATCTGGTTTCACTTTTTACCTGGCACATCTTGCACAGATATTCAACGTAACCTTTGCTTGAGGCTCAGCAGGATGAGCGCTTCGAGTTTGATTGAATTTGCTCCCAGAAGACACCACACTTGTTACTCCTTCCATTCTTAGATCATCGAGATCCTCTGCAACAAGAGAGAAAGACTGGATGAACACAGTATAAAATCTTTGGGGGRAATAAAGGTACTTCCTCTGTAGAATCAATATGCAATGGAACAACTCATAGATCTGGAAGAAAATAGCTACAATTACTTGTATAAAAATAAAGATATTCAAAAAATTTTTATTGGCATTAGTATCATTCTGATACAAGGGATTTTTAGAAAACTATTCGATATTATTTCTATTTCCAACTGTTACCTTTTTTTTCAAACTTTATTTATCCATTTCATTTACTTGCAAAATGCTTTGTAAAGAGATATGACCAAAAGTTTCCACTTGACATGGAGATTCACATTGAAGAGGACATTCCCTTTCATGAGTGTGCAATTCCTCAGGAGTGTGCATCTCCTCAGAGCTTTTTTTAATTATCTATTCACCTAGCAGTGAAAAGTATGACTAAAACAAAAGTACTCAGCTAAAGCTGGGAAATGTGAAATGCATACATATTTTATCCTATGGAAAGGGACCATCATGTGCATAGTCACCACGTTGTTGTAATATTTAAGCAACTAGAAATCATCAATAGATTTTACACTACTGTAAAATCATTCCCATTTTGCATAAAGACTGCTGAGGTTCATAGAGAACTGGTTACCCAAGATCACACTGGCCTAGTGTGGCTGAGTGAAGCTGTGCACCAAATCTCTTGGGTACAGTCAGAATATTCCTCACAGATAAATAATTTATTCTTTACTAATATGTATACAAAATATGAATACCTAGTGTATCCATAAGGCGCCATTTTCCACTGTTTATAATTTGGTTAGATTCTAGCTYTTTTTGTGCTAATATATTCCAGTTTAGGTATTGCCTTTTGAGATTACTTTTTTTTTATATTTGTTGTAGTTTAAAATAGTTCATAAACTGAAAAACAAACAAACAAAATACTGATCAACTACTACTGAATCAACATAAATGATCCTATGCAGAGATTTGATTTATGATGTGCTGTATGTGATAAAATGTACTTCAGATAATATGCACACATATTTCCATATTTTTATACTTACAAAATAAACTAGATATTAAAGGATCCAAGTGAAATAGATATCAATGACACTTTAGGTACTGATATCAGAAAGAGAAAAAAACGTGGAGAACTTTAAAGTCTGACTCAGCAATGCTGAATTTCAAGTATGGCACTGTATGCCAACAGGATGATGATGTCAGCCACACTCTTTCGGGGAGATGACCATTTTAATAGCAATATCTATCCAATGTAGTGCTAAAGAAAGAACGGGAACAAGAAACTTACATGATTTTTTAATAGATAAAGCCTGTAGATTTTCTTACCTTCAATGTTTAATTTTTCTGCCAATATTGCTCCCCCTCCCATAATTCCTGGTCTTGGCGATATAAACAGACATAGTTTCACTGAAGTCTCTGGCATCAATTTATGCCATTTCCAGAYATTTTCCCTTAAATTTTATCTATTATTGAAGCAGACTAATTCAAATGATTTCAAAGTTAACAGTCTACATGAAAATGAACTATGAAATTAACCATCTATGAAACATTCCTTGGAAGGTATTACATATTTGGAACAGATTATGCAAATAATGTTTAATTGTGGTTTAAAGTGGTGTGGAAAGTTACATATTCTTGAACAGCTGTAWACCACTGGATGGATTAGGGGTTAAATGAAATGGAAGCATAAATCTCAGTTCCTCTCTCTGCTCCCCACCAAAAGCTGTTACTTCTTTAAATGARGTTTCCAACAATTCTATGCTTAATTAATTTTGGCTCTCTGACAAGATTGTTTAAATAGAACAAAATCATAAACTGCCCATCTATATACCTTTTAAAGACACATCTTTTGCCTTTTTTAGTCAAATATCAAAATTTTCTTCTTAAGAGCAAATGAAGTCAAAATTTGCATTCACAAAACCATGGATTTCAGAGGTGGCTGTAGTTGTATCTGACAGATTRGCATGCAGAATAATACAAAGGTTGATTTACAAGCTGATAAACCAGTATCAGAAATGTGTATGCTAAAATTCTTAATTTTTTAAAACATATCATATATAATTCTTAACTTTCCTCAAGGAATTTTCACTGATCTTATTCAGTGCTCRGCTTAAGCTCACTTTGGCAAGCTCTACCAAAAAAAAGTCAATATTTTAATTATAGAGAGAAGAATCAAATTCTGCAGAGCAACTGCAGTTTTCAACTTAACTATGATTGTATTGYATATTGAATATTTTCAGTTTCTTCTGGATACCTCAGATTTACAATGCAAATACTGTGCTTTCTTTCTGCTAGAGCAAGAGGGCTTTTAGAAGTTGCCCATTTCCCAATAGCCAATTGGGAATTTCCCAGGAGTATTTCCCAATACTCCTGTAGGCAGGAATTTTGGAGTTGCAGACAAGTTTACATGCCATCTGGCAGTCTTTCTGACTAACTACATTCATTACKAAAGTCCCTTAATTCAACAAAACAATAAATCTTAAATTCACTTTAGTTCTAACAGTATAAAAATAGTAGACATTTTGCTGAACAATACCTGTCCCTAAACAATGATATTATTAAAACAAACACAATGAATGTAATAATGTCTTCTAAGAACAGAAAATAGATTTTCAAAGCTTCAAATGTTTCTGTGTAACATCGAAAAAGCAACAGTCTTGGCAAGAAAGGATTTCACTGGGAAGTCAATCCACTGACACGGCCTGCAACACGGCATCTTTTCTCTTTCTTTGTGCTCCTTGCTGTCCCAACTAGTGATGATGCAGCTGAGTGGTTCAGGGATTGTACTGAGCAGCAATGAGGTAATTCACCAAGACAGAAAGACAGAAAGGAAAAACAATTTGATGACTGCTTCTATGATGGAGGAGAGGAAAATTGTGAAAATTCTCAAACTCTTTCAAAATTGTTACCTGTTTCTGTACAAAGAAGGCTGGATGTTCCAGCAATCAATATTGCCAGACTTAGCTAAACTTGCTATTTTAATTGTGCATTGCATTTCTTCCATTTATTGTTATTTCTAAATTATTCTCTAAAATAATTCTAATTTTCATTCAATATACTCTCTTAAAAATAAATTCCATATTTTATAAAACAGAAGAAATAATAGCAGAATAATAAGTAAAAGATCCCCTCACCAAACATGAGACCTTATCCCATCAACTTGTCTGAGCCATTAAAAGACCATTCCATAATTCCATAGTAAAATATCTCTCCAACTCATGTAATTTACGGTTTGTAACTCAAGCTATGAAGAGAAATTAACATTTAAACACCCAGATTTAAAGCTCAAGCATGGTAAGATACGATAAAAATAAACCTGGATATTTGTGAAGGCAAAAGCAAAAACTACAGATTTAAAATTTCATCTATAAAGAGATACAGTCTTTTATCTCCTCAACAAGTCTGTAATTGATATTTCTCAAAAAAAAGTAAACAAAATACATCTTCATATATTGCCATAATAACAACACATGAAAATACTTAGAAGCAAGAAAAATATCAAAAGAAAAACAATGTTTTTTATATTAATAATAATGCAACACTAAATTAAATTCCTTGTGAATTCTTCCTGGATGAGTTTCATCAACATGGGGAAGGAGGAAAGGATATTTATTTCAGCTAGTAAGTAGTGAATTGCTTTTAAACAGGACACTATTTTGTGATTATTTACTTCCTTTCCTTTTGACATGGGGTAGAGAAAGGGGCAGCGATGCAAAGTGTTCTAGGAAGTGTGCAGGACAGCTCTGTATTTCGGAGCAAGGAGATGTAAGATCATCTTAGTCACTTCTCTTCCAAGACTCTCAAACTCTTTAGGGCCTTCTGATGCAAAACTCCTATAAAATGCAGTGAAAGTTCAGTTGCAAGGAAAGCTTGCAGTCAGACTCTGTGTTAGTATTTGATATGATCCAGTCACTTTTGTCATATTCCGTCATTGTAAAACATGTAATAATATCTCAAGAGGAATCTTAAGAGTATAATTCAAGAAGTGTAAAGTGCAAAGTTGGAAAATTCCTAGTTTATCTTTAGAAAGGTTGAAACTGATGACAGTTTTTCTATTCAATCCAGTGTGAAGAAGAGCACTGAATGTTCTCACTTGAAGGTGAAAAATTCCAGTAACGAACCCTGACTTATATTCTGGTAAGACCCAGTCATTTCTGATCTATCCAAAAAATAATGGCTCTTCTTTGGAAGCAGTGGATTTCTAAGGGCAGCCTTTTTTGATGGACATTGGTGGATTCTGTGTGTACAGCATTGACTTGCCATAGATTGTTAACTGAGACTTACTCCAGCATGCCCTATTACTCTCATTAAAAAAAAAAGCCACACCTTACTACCTATAGCACTTCTACAACATGTCCCAGGAATTTTTGCTGCCCCAGATGTGATACTCGTATGTCTTTTATTATGCTAACCAGTCATCTCTGCTAAATTAATTTTCTTACCCATATAACCTGCTTGGATGCAATCCTGTGCCACATGCTCAGCTGACCCTGTGTGTGCAAGGAGGTTGGACTAGATGATTTCTAGGGGTCCCTTCCAACCTTAAGGATTCTATGACACATAGCTCCAAAACAGCTACGGGGACAAGCAGGAATTAAAATTCAAATTAAAGAAGCAGCAGTAATTTTGAAGACCTGATGTTTTATCTCTGAAAGAAGTGTCCAGAAACAGATGTTTAATCATTTACTTTAGCTGAAGCACAACTGGAGTTATCTTCTGCACTACACTGGCTACAGGATATCTGTCTTTGCTCCCTTCTATTTTTCTGTGACTTCAGTGCTATGAGGTAGTCGATGCTGCTAGTCTGGAAGGTATATTCTGAAACATTTTCCTAATAGCACCATTGAAATGCTGGGATTTGACCCTGCTCAGTCTTCCCTATAGATGAATGGTGGTCCTCAGCAGATCCATCAAGAGCTGAGACAAAAGAAAGCAGCAATTTGTGTGTGTGTGTAATGATATATGCAATGGATCTCTGATTAGAGTTTTCACCTTT